TGGCTTTAGGGCTGGGCACCAAGGGGTTTGCTTGCAGTTTATTGTTACTGGGGGAACATCGTTAAAAACAAAATGTTCTGCCACTCCAGAAAACCTCTTCACAAAGACAGAAGGGAAAGGAAACAACTTTATTATTGAATAAGTATTAAACCGGAATCATAGGTCATCAACTAAAGAGATTGTGAAGACAAAAGGAAATCTCGCCCTTTATATAGGCAAGCAGATTTCATACACGTTTTCAAGATAAACATTAACTAGCCAAGTGTCCCAGCTACGCAGGAGGCTGAGACAAGATGATCGCTTAAGCCCCAAAGTTCCAGTCCAGCCTGGGCAACATAGTGAGACCTTGCCTCAAAAAAAAAAAAAAAAAAACAACAGTAACTAGTCCTCACGTAAGAGGTCTTGACGGCACCAATTGTCAGATATAGTTCATTCTAAATTCATTTGGTAATTGAGGTGAGCTATAATATAGCTATTATATTAGCTAATTGCCTTGATTCAAAAGAAAAACTTCTTATATCTTTATGACAAGAGGTAGGTTTGCAACTTTGAGCCAGGTGAACAGCTAAAGTTAGGCTTCTACTATCTCACAGAAACTAGGAGATAGGGGCGCTATCTTCTTTGATAATTACTTTTCAAAATATGGCTCTCAGGTCCTTAGAGAGACATTGTTGGGTTGTAAGGCTGCCAGGAGGCTTATTTAGCCCTTTTTAAAAAAGATTTACATATATTTCAAAGACATAAAGAAATAATTTACAGTAAGTTTTATAAAACAAATTCTCTAAGAAAAGGGAGGAGGAGGGGGAACCTCTTCCTTTATTTTCAACAGGGAGAATTAAGCCTCTTTTTTTTTTTTTAAGGGATGGGGTCTCACTATATTGCCCAGGCTGTTCTCGAACTCCTGGCCTCAAGTCATCCTCCAGCCTTGGCCTCCCAAAGTGCTAGGATTACAGGCGTGAGTCACTGCACCCAGCCAAGCCTCTTATTCTTAATTTAGATATGCCCTTACATTGCCAAGCTAGATGGGACTCATCACCCTCTTAAACCTCTTGCCCTGGGACAGGAACTGTGAGCCTTAATTTTGCTCAACCATAACTTCATGTTTTGGACACTGAATGTTGGTTTTCTGTAAAACTTTTTAAGAAAAATATATTAAACAGCACTAAGTGTAATTTGTAGACAACTGTACTTCGAGCAAAGCATTTTGTAGGTTTACCCCCATTTTTGTTCTCCTTTGGGGTACTTTATTTTATGAACTTACGACCCTAGCAAGCTGACTTCTAGGTCTCTACCCCACTAGCAAAGATTAGAATGCAGTGGCTGAGAGTGTGGGCCCTAGAACCAGACAGGGCCAGGTTCAGATTCTGTTGCTGTTACGTATTAGCTGGACAGTTTGCCTCACTGCTTTGTGCCTCAGTTTCCTAAATTTTGATAACAACAGTATAAACCTCATAAGTGTTTATGAGGATTAGTGAAATGTGTACAGAGGTGCTGAGCACAGTCTGACTCAGAAAAAAGTTGAGAAATATTAGCTTTTATGAGTAATACATACATCCTCAGGCACTAAAGTCAGACTTCGTGTCCCTCAACTATTTGAAATACTGTAACTCATTACATTAGGAATGGCCTTTTTCTTTCATGCCCCTAGTCTATTCCTTAGTAGCTCCTATCAATGCTACAAGTTCGCCTCTAAATTATTTTTGTGGTACTGCCATTAGAAAATGGCAACGGTCTCAGTACTTCATTCAACAAAGCTCCTTGAGGCCTCACTATGCACCAGGGATTATGCTGGATATGGGGAACAAAAGAATGGTGAATTAAAAAAAGGCATGCACCCCACCCATCAACTTCTAATATATAAGGATGCAATTGCGATTTTAATAAGAGCCACAAAGGGAAATTTGGTGCTCTGTGAAAACATATAGCCAGGGCAGAAATGAATTTACCTGAAACTAGTAAATTTCAGGGCCCTTCCCTTGCACAGCTCGTTTAAAGCTCCAGGGCCTTTTTTTTAAAGTAAAATTTGCAAAAGTGAGGTACCTTAACAGCAGTGTTTAAAATAACTCTCTTTTCATTCCTGCTTCTGTTCCTCAAACTTCCTCTCATGTTGGATGATGTTGGAATGGTCACCAGCAGTTTTGGGATCTGCTAAGTTGAACTGTGGATAGATTTGACTTTGATTAATTAAGTAATACTTGTGTGGTTTGTTACCACTTCAGTGTAGAGTTAAGTCAATGCTAGTTGTCTTGCTGTAGGACCATCTGCCAGCAATATACTTTCTGTCCACCCTGTGACATGTATGCATAGGGCCAGAGATGGTATTAAGATATAAATCAGTCCTATAATATCTTGTGCTTATAAGATGTGTGCTTATAATATCTTTGATATATGAAGAGATGGTCAAAGAGAATGCAGCCAAAAATGTAGGAGGAAATTACAAATTGAAGTGTGTTGAGCATTTAAGTAATTTAAAATAATAAATACCTTATTTTTCTGGATTGTGTGAAATTTATGGTACTGTGAACTTTTTGAAATTTTTAACTTATAATTTTTTTACAGTTGAAATTCATATTCATTTTTGCACCTAATTTTGTATTTTGTTTCTTGGATAGGGCTCCCCAAAGTGTATGAGCTTCAGATACCACCACACTTGGATGCTTGCTTCCCTAGTAGGAAGATCCAAAATAGCATAAAAGTCAAGCTTTCCCTGAGAAAATCACATCCAAGCTGACCCCTGATTATGGGGGTCTGAGGCAGCCATACAGGGTGGTGATGTGAAGGGGGAGGGCAGGGGTATGAGGAGCAGCTGTTGCTGGCATGTAGGAGTCTGTCAGACACTGCGGTTGAACCATCAGATGGGACAGCAGAAGCCATGTTATGTTTTTGGGCACTTTGATGTCAAGAACTACTCACAATTTTAAAAAATTTAACATAACCACTTTTTTCTATTACATCCAAGATACGTATAGTGGGTATATATTATATTCTCAACCACATATTCAAAGATGAAGGTAATATCACCCTATTTTATCTAAATCCCTCTGCCAGCCCCTATCCATCTCTCTATGATTGTGGGAATTGTGGGGAATTCAAGTCATCTCAGGATCAGGAGAAGTGTCCCAGGTCTTACAGAGGCCTTTGGGGAGGCCTCTCTGATATTTGGTCTACCGTAGTTGTATTTTCCCTAGCTGGCTTGTTCCCTTGAAGTTCCAACTCTCTGCTCTGTACCCAGCTTGGGGAACCAATAGTAAATCTGAACCCAGAGTCCAGCCTGCTTAAGTGTATTATACAGCTATTTCCCTCCAACAAATGGTAGATGTAGGTCTATCTAAAACTTTTGCAGCCTCCTTTCCATCCTATGTATAGTGTAGTGATTGTGATGGGCAGATTCTAAGATGTCCCCATGAGCTGCACTCTCTGGCATTCCCATCCTGCATAATCCCCTTCCCCTGAGTATGGATGGGACCTCTGACTCACTTCTAGACAGCAGGGTATGGCAAAGGTAAAGGAACTTCACACCCCACCTCCATCAGCCCTCAACCATTGGCATGGGCCTTGGTGTGCAAATACCCCAGCTTCCTCATTCCTTGGGTGGAATTTCTCTGAGGGATGTGTTTTCCATCTTCACCCAGAGTGCAAGCTGGCTGGATAACTTAGCCTGTACTGCATGCCTTTCCTTCCCTACTGGTGCTTCCCAAAGTTCTTAAGTGAGCTGCTAGCACTGGATCCTGGTTTCAGGGTCTTCTTCAGGGGAACCCAAACTAAGACAATGAATTAATATTTTAAGGGCACTGTCAAGGCTCTGCTACCAAAGACCACCAGGGGCACACCTGCAGTTGAACCAGTTGGGTTTATTATTTTTTCAGTAAGGGAAGACACAAACCATGAAAAATCACGGGGAGTCTCAGTAAGAGGGTGTTAGAAAGAACTTAAAGGATTTGGACTTTAGATGATTTGGGGGAAGGCCTAAGGAAATGGGGGTTCACTCCATATTGGCTGCTGTGAGAAAGCGTGGGCAACTCTGTGAATGACAATCTCAATAAATCTTAACTGTCGTGAGGGGAGATTGGGTCTACAGGTAGCGGAGACTAGAATGAGGTTAAAGTTGTAATTGGTAACTAAGTAGGTACTCATTTTCCTTGGGAGATGTAGCGTTTGTTGTTTTGTGGGTGACACCATAAACTTGTTTTTGTCTGTGCTTAGACTAAATTATGAAGTTGACTCGCTTTGCCTCACGCTATTATGATTGCAGAGTAACCTTGTCTGAGGTTGGTATTCTGTGAGCTGGCTTATGTTTAGGAGATTAATGTGGTCTGCCTGTGAGTCCCAGGACAGGTTCTGAATGTCAGGGGCTGCTTTCTTTCTTTCTCAGCACTTGGAAAATGCCAGGCACATAGTAAACTTTCAGTGTCACCAATTACCAGCCTGAGCTTGGGGCTTCACACGCATCTTCTTTATCTTCATGATGATAGTGAATAAGGTATGAACATTCACAGTGTACGAGTGAGGAAAGAAATCCGTTCTGAGCTGATGCGTTGTATCAACAGGCATATTACACTGCGATGGAGAACGATGTAATAAAGGTCTGCGTTTTCACTCAATGTATTAATACTAACTTTTTTGGGAGAAAAGCCAAGGCTGGAACGACCGGAGCCACGCTGCATCTGGGCGACAGGGGGCGGTGTGTCCTGCGAAAAGCCAAAGCTCCCGGAAGCCGCTCTTGGCGTTTGATTTCCGCCACTTCGCCTTAGGAAAAGTGAGGCCCCGGTTTAAATCGAGATATTATTATTCTGATAATATGTGATGTAGCGCCACACCAACCGCAAATTTAAACACTCACTTAAGAAATAAATATAAATTACTGAAACAGGTATTAGCACTCGGTGGGCAGTGTATGTCGCCTGTGGCTGCAATCTGCAAACCCTTGTAGGACGCAGGGCGTCATCCACCCACACAAGGACAGCGAAGCTGTCGTCCTGACCCACTAAACACTCCGGGCCTAGAAAGCAGTAAAAAGCAACGGCAAGGCCGAGCAGGCAGCGCCCGCCGGCCCGAACCTGCGAGCGGGGTGGGGGTGGCCCCACTGGTCCTGGCGGGCAGCCCAGCCCCGGGCACGATTTTCTTTCTGCCCTTTCCTGCGTCCCGCGCTCTTCCGGCCCGAGTTCGGAGGCCCACTATGGCGCTGCTGGGCTGGGGTGTCTTTGCCCGGGGATCCTGGCTGCCCTGCCTCAGTCCTCGGCGGGTAAGGCGGCCGGGCGCGCTCGGAGGTTGGGGGTCGGGGGGATGGGGTCAGGTTTCGCCAGCAGAGTAAGTCCTGGTGTGTGTAGGGGGGATAGGGAGGGCACATGGTTTTCGAAGTTTTCACATTTTTGCAAGTTTCAGAGTTGTGTGTAAATGGGTAGAGGCAGGGAAGGATACGGCACGGCGGCCCCTTGAGTGGGAGAGAGGCCAGGGTAGGGGGAGTGGGCCCTGCAGGGACCACCGGCCTTACTGAAGTTTTTTTTCTTTTTTTTAAATGAGGAAAATCCATTTATGTGTTAGGTGTGGGATTAAACAGCAATGCAAACACATTCACATAAAAATGAAACAAAACACAAAAACTTCAACTGTCTGTAGACTCCCAGAGAAAAAGCTGGGAGAGGAGCATCTCACATTGGCTTCCACCTCTGTCTCCTCCACACTTCTGTAGTTTTGTTTTGTCAACGTCTCTCAACTGAACCCATAATTGAAGTACAATATGCAGGTGAAGACTGCTAGGAAGGGGAAGAAAGAGAAAGAAAAACAAAAAGAAGCCGTATGCAAGACAGGCCCTCCCTCCAACTAAATATAAAAATCTTAATAAATAAACTAAAAAGCAGAATTTCTTTAGCCAGGTAAATAAATTAATATGTCAACTGTGAAAAAACTTTCTATTTGATAGAGCTGGTAACCATGGTTTTTTGTTGTTGATGTTGTAATTTGTTTTGTTTTTAATACAGGCAGCAATAGTTCTAAATGTGAATACAAAAAACTGGTATGGTGATTATCTCAAGTAAGAGGATTTTCTTTTAAAAAGTGAGATTCGTTCATGGCTACTAGGGTTTTCCTGATATTTTTCTCTTCCTGTAAAGACTACGTATAGGTCACTGTAAAGGAATCCTATTCTCAAAGAACTTTCTCACTTGAAACCTACAACAGCTTTGTGAGGTAGAAAAGTCTTCAGAGATTATTTTTTTTAACCACAAATGATTAGGATTGTAATAATAAGATCACACAGACCATATCCCCACTCTTCTGACACCGTTAGACAAATACAGTTTGAGAGAGAGAAAATGAACTTGCTTAAAAATTCAGTGCAATCTGACAATATTGATTTTCCTTTGCTTAATAAAAATGGAAGTTTTGAGGATGGGAGTTTGGAGGCAAGAGAGAAACCTGTTAGTGTGGTTTGTCTTCTTCCTGGCACATGGAGGCTGGGGTTTGAATCCCTGGGAGAAGAAAAGTCTTAACATCTGTGAAGTGAAGTGGGAGGTTGCTCCAGGGAACATTATGTTATTGTGGGCAAATACAAGTTATTACAATTAAAACCCCTAATTTCAATACTTTTGTTACTAAGAACCAAGAGAAATGTTTCATCTGTCATAAAACCTATTTGTGAAGTGCTATATTAATGTGTGCTGTTAGCTAGTAGGCATCAGTTAATTCAGTAAATATTTATTTATGCCTGGCCCTGTGCTATGCCCTGGGGATACAAAGATTTAAAAACTATGAACTTTGTTCTCAAGTTACTCTCAGTTCTGATGAGGAAAACAGTCATTTAGTTGTTTATCAAAAAGTGCTAATTCAGTGCCTACTAAGTGTTGGGCATTCTTTGGGGACCATGGTTGAAAGACATCCCTACCTTCAATGTGCTAACAGTCTCATGTATGTTTTTCAAGCCATAGGTAATAATCAATGAGTGGGCTTTGAAATCAATTTAGTGCAGCAAAATAGATTTTAAAAAATAAATTGGAATAGAATAGGATATATCTGAGTTCATCTCATGTAGTGAAGCTGTTTACTTTGTGAAACTTTAAAAAATTTGCCATTCATCCTTTTGTAGATTGGTTCTTTGATAACTGTGATACACACTGCCATTCTCCCTTTCTGTTTGTTTTTATCAAGAGTATTAACCTGACTAATGATTCCTGGCCAATGGTAATTCAAGCAATACAGTTAAATTTTAAAAAACATAGAAACCAAAAAAACAAAGTAACACATGACTTCAGACTGACCACCCAGAACATTTGGCGAACATGATTCCTGGCATTTTTTCTGGTGAAAGGATGGGTAGCATAATTTTACTTGGATGTTTCACATTTATTTTTTCCTTAGAGTATAGTCAACATTGTTTCATTGTCTTGTGACATTGAATATTGTTAGGAAGAAGTATAAAACCAACTGGATATTTTTTCTTGTTTATGTTTTCTTTGTTTTTATTGATTTATTTTCTATCTGGAAAGCCTAAGTATTTCTTTATCCAATTTAAAATTCTAGAATATAAACCCCATGGAGGCAAGGATTTTCATCTAGTTTGTTCACCATTTATCCCTAGAACAGTACCTGGTACAGAGTAAACATGTATTAATAATATCTGTTACATGAATGAATATGTATACTGTGTTGCTATATAAAGCAAATTTCTTACTATGGTTCACATTTAAAAAATGTCTGAAAAATGAGTCCAATGAGTCACCATAAGACATCAATAGACTGTAAAAATGCATGTGTATTTTAATACATATATGAACAAAACGGTGTGTCTAGAAGAGGCAGGGAAGGCTTCATAAAGGAGGTGGCTCTTAGAGCTTACTTTTGAAACAGGAATTGTAATCCATGAGGCCCCAGAGGTAATCTAGACCTAAGGAATAATGTGTATCAAGAAGTGAAGGAGCATGGCTATTTCTAAAAATTCAAGTGGTTTGGTATTATGGAGTTCGTGAAGTATAGGGGCAAAGAGAGGTGGATGGAGATGAAACTGATGAGGTTACTGGGGACCCGGGTGGGCATGGTTGGCTTCCCTTATTTATATAGCAAATTGAGCATTTACCATGTGCTAGCCACTGTGCTAGGGATATGAGGGCATGAAAGAGAGCTGATTCCTGTTCTCAGGAAGCTTACAGTCTAACGGCACCATAGTATAATATGGTATGT